GGCGCTCTGTTCGTCTGCTCCTCCAAGGCTTAGTCCGCCGATGGCGCGTATTTCGAAACTGCCACGTGGCGACGAAATAGTAACTGCCCTTGGACTAAGCCTTAGAGGAGCAGACGAACAGAGCGCCGCGCCGCCGCGTGTTCTCCCCCCCCCCCTCCCAACTAAGTTAGCACCGAATGGTGCAGCTAGGAGGAGCGGAAGCATATGTGTCAATCTGAACTTGGGATGTTATACATATATCGCTGCAGAAAGCAGCGTATTCGTTCTATCGCGCCTTCCCAGACGTTCATTCCTAAGCGCTGTGGGCGTACTTTATGTCTTCTCTTCTGCAATACTGTGATTCTTCATCTTCTCGCTTTCCGACGGGTTCCTCTTGCAGATCACAAATTCATGGAAGTTTTGCTTGTATTCTGTTTCTGCAGATTCATTTGTTCATTACAATTGTTGATTGATGATTCAAGGTTTCTATAAATATTTGTTCAATAGGAATTGTGTTTTAGTACTATACACCGTTGTATATCCATTCTACAATTCAAGTGTACGAGGTATAAAAGCCAGTTCTGAAACGGCTCACGTTATGAGTGCTTAACTATACGTTTTGACGGGAAACTAACTTGAGTGTGGCAGGCTTATGACAAAAAGGCGTCCTCGTTTGCCAGATTCCGGGATTTACACCGAAGACGGCTTTCTCTTCCATCATAACACCCCCCAGCCGTTGAGCCGTGCTGAAGTGGAACGTCTCCATGAACATGGCAAGCCTTTTTTTCTTCAATTGTCATTTTATCTTGGCTGCAAGATTTACGTTTTTTCAGAAATACCTTATGAACCGAGATCTCAATTCACGCCTGCGGATGATGAACAGATCAAAAAGAACTGGAAGAGGTTAGGGAAGCTTTTCATATATAAAAGGAGGTCTTTATGTTTCGTGCGGTTGTTTACATTTCGTGTTACTTCGTATATCTGTTAAGATTCGCTGCGAAGCATAATCTGGATTATGAACTGGCTCCGAATTACGCTGGTGTTCCTGGATACGAGGTAACAGGTGTAGGTTGGAGTCGCTAGAACGGAAGGCGATTCCATTTTTTCGCTCAGGACCCCAGGTCCGCTTATGCTCAGCGTTGGGGTTCCCATAACGAGAAAGTTTCGAAGCTGCGAAAATTGAAGAAGTCGCTTTCTATCCTAACGACCCTCACCCGCAGGTTTACCGCTGAGAACTCAATATGAACACAGATTTACATTGGTTTTTTCAGGCCATATTTTATTCAATGGAAGAACGTCTCACTTTCAACACTAATACGAGATTCTGGCCGAAAATGTGTAAGCTTTTTTGTTGCGACATACAGTTCAGGAAAGCTAATAGACATTTCCTAGCGTAAGCTCTTGCCCGCTATGCACAGTGATGACAACTTTATCTTTGCCATCTTGAAAACAAAGGGTAGAAAACAAAAGCTCGGAACATAGAAAGTAGAGGCCACGTACCTTTGAGAGCAAATCGAGGTCAGAAACGAACCACTTTGGTTATCTCGTTTATAATGATTTTTTTCTTCTTCAACTTAAAGCTATTTCTTGCACTCATCTGTGAACTTTTGACAGCTCAGGGATGTATTTTGACCATTCCTTATTTTCCGCCGCGCCTTTTGCCTAATTCCATTCAGAATCTTATGATAGATTTATGACTATAAATTTCAAAACTACAGTATTTTCGCATGGCCATTACTCAGAAAGTCCAAAAATCAAAAGACTTCTGATTTTTAGATTATGGTGTTGTCTACATCTATTTCCTTTCAGGTCACAAATTGCCTCACCGTACTGCGGGGCAGGTTCGTAATCGAATCAAAGTGTTGTTCGATCCCGCAATTTTGAAAGGACACTCGAAGCTTGCGTACAAGAAACCGTAACTTTTTTGTGTTCTAAGGATTTGTTATTCTTCCTACAATTTTAGTCGTGATTTGCAGTGCAAAAGTTATAGCGGGCATGGCAATTAGTGGAAAATACTTACGAGGAAAGGTCACTAGGTTGGTCCGGCCATTTGCAATGAGTCGTATACCGTTGAAGTCGCCTCGAGGCGCTGAGCTCAGAACTGCCTTCCTTATCTGCTAAACGATTCTTTGAACGTAGTTATAA